AGAGGCCTCAAAGATATCATAGTCGGACAAATGAACGAAGATTTTAGCGACGGAGACGACGACGACATGAAATACAACGATCCCAATTACGATTACAATGAAGAACTGAAGAAATACGAGAAAGAACTCGACCAACGGATGAAATATGCCAACGATCAACCATTTCCAATGGGAGACGAAGAAGAACAAAACGACGACGGTTTTGTCATAGACGAAGCAGAACAGAAGCTGATGAAGAATGACGGAGGAGAAGAAGTGGCAGAAGAATCAGACAAAGAAGAAGAAGAAACACCAAATATAATCCCAAAGAATTTCTCTCTCAAATCCCATCGCAACAACAAATACCTCCGCTACACAAACGACGGCGAAAACTCCGACGGTCTACTCCGCTTCTCAAGCAAGAACATCGTCGGCCCGTACTCAAAATTCGCCGTTCGCGCCTCCAAAAGCCACCGCGGTTTCGTCCACATAAGATCCTGCTACAACAACAAATTCTGGATCCGTCACTCCGCCAACGACAATCGCATCGCCGCCGTCGCCAACGAGGAGCAAGAAGACGACGTGTCGGCACCGTCATGCACGCTTTTCCAGCCAATTTTCATCCCAGAGAAAAACGGCTGCTACATCCGACACATCCAGCTCGACAAGTATCTCTCCATAGACGAACAAGACAATTTAGTCGCGAATATTGGACTAGAAAACGTGGGAGAAATCGACGAGAAGACGGTCCTCTTCACCGCCGTTGATTGGGACTCCATTTTCGTACTCCCCAAATACGTCGCCTTCAAAGGCAACAACGGCGACTTCCTCGAAACCTCCGGCAAATATCTCAAATTCTCGGCCTCCAGCGTGGAAGATCCAGCGGTCGTGTTTGAGGTGATCGCCATGGAAGATGGTTACATTCGGATAAAGCACGTGAGATCTGGCAAGTATTGGAGGAGAGACCCGAATTGGATATGGTGTGAATCCATAGACACCAAAAGGAGCGATCCCAACACTTTGTTTTGGCCTGTCAAAGTTGATAACAGCATTGTGGCTCTGCGCAGCAAAGGCAACAATCATTTCTGCAGGAGTCTGACGGCAGATGGAAAAACTGATTGCCTTAATGCTGCAGATTCCACCATTACAAACCCTGCACGACTTGAAGTGATCGAGGTTGTTGTTGCGAGGAGCATTGAGAATGTGGAGTATCGGGTTGAGGATGCCAGGGTTTATGGGAAGAAGATTCTGACGGTGTCGAAGGGAGTGGCCATTAACAAGACGGAGGTTGCAGACCACGTGACCATGAAGTTTAGGTATGGATCCCAGTAATTTATGTATATTATAAACTTTTTATCAATATATTCATGCGTTTCATCACAAGATCAATGAGCAAAGAGAGGAGTAGCTCATGTCTATTATAAACTTGGTAAGGTCCTTAACATGCCCCTGATCGGTCGGATACTATTTTTGAACCGCATGCTCGTTTAAAGTTTTGGACTCTGATACCATATGAATATTTGTGGGGTTCCACCAATTGATTTTGAGATGGAACTGCTGAATATTGATATAGTATGAGAGTCCAATGAGCATACGGTCAAAAAGTGGGATGCGACCAAGATTGCAGGTTAAGGATCCGACATAGAAAAGATAAGAGATGAGTTTATATTATAAGTAGGCTACTCCGATCCTCTTTACTGTCAATTGGTTTTTGAGATGGAACTCATGAATATATTTATACCTTTGATATGTTAGGTTAGATTATTTATGTTTTCAATGTGGGATGCTAGACAGGTATGAGAAGAAGGTGGAGAGGATGTGGAGTTCGTCTGTTTCGATGACTTTTGGGATGGCCGCAAAGTTTACGACGAAGATTCCGACAGTGGGGAGTATGAAGTTCGAGCTTTCGTTTGAACAGAGCAGCGAGAAGACGAGGGAGGAGAGCGAGAAGGAAAAATCGTTCGAGGAAACTTCAGAGACCATAACAATTGCTCCAATGTCGAAAGTGAAATTTGGTGCTGTGGTGTCGCAGGGATGGTGTGATATTCCTTTTAGCTACACTCAGAGGGACACTTTGAGAGATGGAACACAAGTAACGCATCGGTTTGAGGATGGGATTTTCACTGGAGTTACTACGTATGACTACAAATTTGAGACAGAGAGGCTTGCAATGTGAGTAGTTTGTGTGTGTTTTGTTTTTTTTTTTGTCTGTTGGATTCTATGTTACTGTTTTGTTTGGTTTGTGTTTGGGGAATCTAAGGGTAAAGAATAATTAATGGCCTTGAATGAGTGTTTGTAAATCAATAAATGTTTCAAAACTTCTCAAAGTTAAACTCATTACCCAAACTTTTTATGAACAAGTTAAAAAGGCTAGTTTGATAATGTTTTCTCGTTACCCCGTTTTCTTTTTCGAAGAACTAGGTTTGGAAACAATTTTTTTTTCATGTTTCTTTTTTTTCTTTTTTATTTTATTGAGAAGGAAATTGGTATCAATATTTCTTGTTTCACTCCTAGAAATAACATTTTCGTTAGAAGAATTTTTGGATATGTCAATGACAACGGTATTTCTTTTGATGCACACAAGTTCGTCGGCAGATCAATTCTACTTATGCCGACGAATTGCTGAAAATGTTGAAAACTATAAAAAAGACACTAGAAAGAAAAGCCGATGCTTTTGGTGGCGTTAGGAGAAGTGTGTTAAGAATCTTATCAAAGATTTATAATATACGTGAATTATCCTACTTATAGTCAATTGATTTTGAGATGAAATTCCATGAAAATTGATATGATATCAGAATCCAAAAAGCTCAAATCAGCATTTGGTCAAAAAATAGAATTCGACTAAAATTGATGAGCCAAAAAAGAGCCACCATCTTCAGGAGGCATGTTAAAGGTTTCATATTGAAAAAATAGGAAAGAACTAACAAAAGTTAATAATATAAATGAACTACTTTTCTTATTGTCAATTGATTTACTTCTCATCTCTTCGTCTCTAGGTTTCTTTAAGTTGTCTGACAGCGTTGTGTGTGTGTGTTTTTATGTTTTGTTGCAGCTGGGATGGAGAAAATTGGTCGAAGACAGTCGTGTCGAGTTCTGGAGCAGTGGAAGAAGATGACGAATCCAGCGGAAGCGACTAGTTAACGAACAAATACCTGAAAAATAAAACTGCCACTGAGTATTGTGTGTGCTTCTTGTATTTTCAATTACTGTAATTTGTTTGTGTTGGTAGGACTGGTTTTATGATGTTGTGTCTGTGGAATCTAAGGGTAAAGCATAAATTGGTGCGGGAATAAGTCTTTGTAACCCTTTTCTGTTTGAAAATCAATAAATGTTTAAACTTCTCTTGATTACACTCGGTTAGAATCCATATAAATGAATTAAATTTACCCAACTCATCAGCTTAAACTTTGGGTTGAGCGGTGGTTTATTCATCCTTAAACACTCATTACCCGAACTTTAAAAATATAACGTTTCTGTTTCTTGTTTAATCCATAAATAGAGAACTGCTTTAGATAATTGTTGTGTTTTTTTTATTATTAAAAAAGAAATAGAAACCTGTTTAAGTAACAATTTCTTGTTTCTTTTTATCCAAAATTTAAAATTAAAAAGTAAAACAAAATTTATGTGAGTTTTTAAAATTAGATGTTAAAATTTTTAAATGTTATATTTACTTTTTAATAATTATTATACATTTAATAAGTCAAGATTAATAAAATAATACTTTTATTTGTGTTTTTTTTTAAAAATTGGGAACAGGAACAGGCTCGTTTGGTAACGTTCATGTTTCTTGTTTCTCTTTCTTCATTTTTAATAAAGAAAAATGATTTGCATAGCTCCAACATTCATGAATTCAAATATGATAAAACAATTTTTTGTTTATGTTGTGGAACAAATTTGGAAATGGGAACAAGAAAGGAGAAACTGGTTGTTTCCAAAATTTATATACAATTTTGAGAATGTTCCCAACAAAGGAGAAACAAGAAACATGGTCATGTTGTAAAATGCTTAGGTTTCTCAAGAAAATTGGAAACGAGAAACAAGAAATGGAAACCTTAACAAACAGGCCCTGTTTCTAAGCTGCAAATCACTCTAGCACATCTGCTAAAAATATCCAACTTGTTGATGCTGATTTCTGGGTGAGGTCCACGTAGGTGCCATATATGGCTTTGTCTCGAAAAACTTAATGCCTGCACACACAACAACCTTGAATCGTTATGGTGCTTTGCGGAACGCATTTTGATATTTAAGTTAGAACTCAAATAGGGGCAAATGAGTACGGAGCATGTTGAATGATAAAATTTGACCAATGATTAAATATCACGTCATCCATTTAAAATTATATTTAGGATTAATCTTAAATTTACACATGTCCTAAATTAATTTTAAAATCGACCAATCAAATCATGTCACATGTCTCTCTTATGGTCGTCTGATAAAATCAACTAATTGGAAGAGCTTGGGCCTAAGCCTATGACCCGTAAAACCCATAGCTCATATAAGACCCACCAAAACTCTATAAAGGGAGGGACTCACATCTCATTTGAGACATTGAGAAAAAGCCCGAAGAATTTGAGATTAAGGGCCCTCAAAGCATTCAAAATCTTTTACAATCATTTAGAGTCAAGCGAAGCATCCAGAGCCGACAAGACTTAAAGAATTTGAGACTTGAAGACTATGAGACTTCAAGAACATTGAATCTTCCCTTAGTAAAGCAAAACGACTAAAGAACTCTTTACCAAGCAACAAGACTTGAAGTCGAAGATTTCATCAAGCTGCAAATTCTTCATCAAGCTTCAAAGCCGGAGAACTTCACAAGCTACAAAGTTGAAGAACTTCAACAAGCTGCAAAGCCGAAGAACTTCACGAGCTGCAAAGCCGAAAAACTTCACAAGTTACAAACCGAAAAACTTCAACAAGCTAAAAAGCTGAAGAACTTCACAACCGTAAAGGTGAAGACTTCGAAGATTTTTCAATAAGTTTAAAGCCCAAGACTTCACAAAGTCTTCATCAAGCTACAAACCAAAGAACTTCATGAACAAGTCGACGTCTTCAACAAGCTCAAAATCGAAGACTTCAAAGATCCTTCGATAAGCAAGAAATTGAAGGCTTCAACAACATTGATTCAAGAACTAGCTCAGAAGCACTTGAATTAAAGTTTACACTGGAGAGAATTAATCAGAGAATTATACATAGAGATTATACACTACATATCATTTAATATGAATACGAGTTCATTAATTCGAGTTTCTCTTCTTTGAATTTCTCGTCGAACACAGTATAAAGAATAAGAGAGAGTAGTAATTTTCGAGGGTGGAATCCACTTGAGAGTGTGTGCCGAATTTTGACAAGGAATTGTGTAGATAATACAACTTACTTTTGTTAGGGTTGTCATTTTCCTTATATATAGAGATTGAGAGAGGGTTCGAGTGAGAGGTCTCTACTCCCTTGAGTGCACACGGGGGAGGTGTGGTGCGCCAAGAGTCTGCAGAGACCACTGGTTGTCTTTCGTATGAGATGTGGAGTGCTGACCTCAACCTTGTCACTAATGTTCTCAGGATCTCCTTTATGGTGCACTTGTCATATTGTCATATTAATATGGTGTCAAATCAATCAATATCTATATAATAAATATATTTCACATCATTAATTAGTTAACAATTTGAAATAAAAGTCAAAACGAGCATATGTTTGCAATAATTGACATATGTTTCAAATTAAGAGGTTGTGAATTCGATCCATCACCCTTACATATTGTACTAAAAAAAATTGAAATAAAAAGTAAAAAAACAAATCATAATTTACAGATGTTGATAAAACATGAATTATAGCACAGTGGTAATCGACGCCTTTTGAGATTAGAAGTTTGAATCCCTATATCTCTAATTTTTTGATTAAAAAAAATACAAATTAGGATTATCAATTGAAAATTTTATCAAAATTCAGAAATTTACTTGTTTTTTTTTATATATGCTTTTACACATAAAACAAGGAAACACTCGGTAGATAAGCTTATTTTTGAAAAGATAGGAAATGAAACATAAAAAGATTATTAACTAAAACTTTAGTCTTATAAAGTTGACTAAAATTCAAAAAATATATTAAAACTAATAAACTAGAATTCTTTAATTAAAATTGAATTCTCTCTCTCTTTTTTTAGTTCAATAAAGTTGTTATAAACAACTTAGAGAAAATAGCAAGAAAAGAAAAGATATACTGATTTACTTTCTGCAATGAACCAAAATGGACTCTTTATCTGAGAAATAAAAAAATAGTAATGAGTTTTTATTGTTTATTTATGTTCTTACCGAATAAATCGCGATAATCACAATAGATCCTCGAAAATACTTTAGGATTATAAAACAAGTTAGCACTCCAACGATCTAATCAGTCTTAACACTAAAAATAATAGAAATGTATATGGTAACAAGTGTCTTTTTTTTTTTTTGCGTACCATCTCCATTTGTCTTATGGTATTTATAAAGAAAGGAAAAAATAACCGTTGAGGAGTTTGGCTCCCCATTTGAATAAAACAGTTCCCACCCCGTAGAAATAGGGAACATGCGGATTGAGTGGGAGAGCAATTAGACTGTCATGACGTAAATAGTGGAGTAAACCGTTCAGCTAGACACCCGATTCGGTGGAATGTTCAACTCAGTTATTATCTGACCTAGTACTTGGATGACTTCCCCTGTAATTAAGTTGATATAGTGATGTGTCTTCGACATTCAAGGGTTAAACAATTTATTATTATTTTTTTTTTGTGTTTATCATTTCCACGGGTTTTATATGATTAGATAATATATTCAGAAAAATTTCATTGGCAACCTCATTTTCTCAAATTAATTTCATAAACATATTCACAAATAATATTTCTTCAATAATAAATTCATTAATAAGTAGTTGATTTTTTTAGTACAACATAAGATGAGGATCAAGACTTTTAGAAGCATCAATGTCTCTCATTTATGTCTCATTTTAGCCAAGGGATGTATATATTATTGTGGCCTCATTTTCCGCATTTACTTTGTGCATATAACATATATCACATAAAATTAGTTCTTTAGATACTCCTCTCATTGCCAATCAGTTTTGTGATAGAACCCATGAATATTAATATGGTATGGGAGTCCAACAAACTCAGACGAGCATCTGATCTAGCCCACTTGTATTATAAACTTTTGTTAGGTTCTTTATTTTTTCAATGCGGAGTCCTTAACATGTTTCCTCAAAATCGTAGTTCTTTCGACTCATCGATCTTGGCCTGATCTCATTTTTGGATCGGGTGCTTGTTTGAGCGTTTTGGACTCTGATACCATATCATATTCATGAAGTTCCATTTCAATACCAATTTGATTTTGAGATGGAACTCCATGAATACTCGATAAAAAGCAGCCTCAAACTTTCCTAGTTTAGATGCTATGTTTTCTTTCTTTTTCTTCTGTTATGCACTTGTAGTATTGTTTTGGAAAGATAGAAATTGAGAATCTGTTGGGATAATGGAGCTAAAACAGATGACCCGTGTCCTACGAGAAAAATGATTTTTCAACACTACTACCAATTCTTACAAGAAGTAGGATATTATTGTCTTATAAGGATTACAATGTTGTTTTCGTATAAAGATGAGATATTTGATCTCTTATAAATAGAACAATTTTGTTAAGGTTTCATTTGTACAGAATCCAAATAAGAGAAACTTGAGTGGTTGTGGGTAGTGTGTGAAAAAAGGGATATGTATCTCGTGGGTTTAGTGAGGGTATTGTGTAATCGGTAGCCATTGTTAGGATACTTAGAAGCAAGATAGTAATAAGATTTCCATTGTAATATTTCCCACTATAGTTGAATCTGCTTTTTCACAGAAGACTGGACGTAGTCCCAAGATAGAGGCGAGCTAGTATAATCCCTTAGTGTTAAGTTTTCTATCTCTATCTCTTATTCCTTTGTTATTGTTACTTATATACTTTTAGCCTGTGGAAGGAGAAAATCAAATAGTCCATGTTTGAAGAACATATAGGAGGATCGATTTATCTATTCTTTTTTTTTTCCAATAGAATCAATTATTAAAGATTGTGAAAACTATTTGATAAAGTACTCAAGATCAAGCGAGCAAAATGTAAGAATTGAACCATCATGACAATATTGAAATATGGTAAAAAAAAATTAAGCAGGTAAAAATTACTTAACAATAAATATTGAGATCAAGCTTAAAATAATCCAACATGACTGGATTGAGTTAATTCCCGCAAAATTAGTACTGTCTAACCCCATTATCGCTCAATGGGAGGTGAACATAGTTTTTCGGTTAAAGATATATGTTTTAAATAGTTGAGCTCTGTTTTAAAACTTGGCAAGTATATCTATTTTTTACACTAAACTTTTGTCTTCATCAAATAAAAAATTTATTATACTTTGATAAGTGTTGCAATCTTTATCTTAAATTTAAAATAAGTGTTATTACAATTTTACCTTCAAATGAACTCATTTGAACATCCATTATATAAAATATCATTATATATGTGTTTCGTGAAATCAGCGAGCGAGTTTTATCGATTCTTGACCTTTCTTTTCGTTCACATTTAGTGAGTGTGAATTTAACCAAAGTTGATTGGAAGCTAAAAAATTGATAAAATTTTTACAATGATCACTCATCAAAGTCTACAATTGAATTTAATGAATTTAAAATTTTCAAATAAGTCTCCACCCCGAACACATACTTAAAGAACTTAGGTTAACCATTATTCTGCACCCGAACATAGATAAGATAATTTTTCGGACTAATTAACTTCTCATATCAAACAACTCCAAGTTAAACAACGACGTTACCTCAAATGTCTCCTAAGTCTATTTCCCAATAATGCTATTTAAGATAGCTTTTTCTCGGAAGAATATTAAGATTATAAATGCTAAAACAGAATAAAATCCACCATTCATGAAAAAATTACTAACTCTTGACTACTTGAGATCGATATAATTTTTCTCCTTAATATTAGTGGTTGATTTATTAAAAAAAAAAATCAATGGATATAATTTAATAATAAAATATATTTAATTCTAAAATTAGTTCTCTCTTAATTATAATTATAAAAGGGGATTCAAGCTCAGGATCTTTTAGTTGAAAATAGATACCCAACCCAGTTGAGTTATGCTTCAAGTTGGCTGCGCTGATCAATTTTACTAAATAAATTGAATACAACTAATAATATTTCGGTTAAAATACTAGTTTGGTTCTGTAATTTTAGCTTTTGTTCATTTTGGTCATCGTACTTTTAAAATGTTCGTTTTGATCCCTGTACTTTCAACTTTGGTTCATTTTAGTCTTTGTACTCTCAAAATGTTCATTTTGGTCCCTGTACTCTTAAAAGTGACTATTTTGATCCTTCAATTTTATTTTTAATCTCCTTTTTTCTATCACAAATTTCAACCGACATTAGAAACAATACATTTCTTAAAATGTAAACACTACACTTTATGCTAAAGAGTTTCCGTTATGTGTAAAATTTGTGTTAAAATTTTGCAAAAAGTGACTAATTTTAAAAGTACATGGACCAAAATGGACATTTTTCAAAATACATGGACTAAAATGAACTAAAATTGAAAATATAAGAACCAAAATGAATATTTTCAAAGTATATGAACTAAAATGAACCAAGACTGTAAGTATAGGGACCAAAGTAGTGTTTTAACCTTGATAACTCTCCAAATAGAGAGTTATTTGGGTATAATGTTGGTATAAATTAGCTAAAGATAGCATCCCTTGCATACTTAGTCACTGTTTTTGTTCTAAAAAGATCATAAACACTAGCTTTGTACATTGTAGTATTGTCAATTGCAATTAAGCTAATTTTGGTGCATTTTGCTACAACTTTGACAATGCTACAACATCAGATCCAGATTCAGAAAGCAACAGAAAACGACAAGCTGACAATGAAAGGATTGCCCAACGGATTTACCACAGTAATTGGAGGTTTTAACAAAAAGTGAGAGATGGGTCCCCCAAGGTCCGTGTTGTTGCCCTAATATCTGAAGAGGGTATAAATACAAACAAGAGGAGAAGCCTCCGGGGACACACACATCAAGAAACATTCCCCTTGTTCATCCTTGGAAGGAATCCACCCTCATTCCAAGAAACTCTCTCTAAGAACCGTTGGAGAAAGCGAAGAGAAGAAGCAGACTCTTCAGTGGCATTTGGGAGCTGATCTTCAGCTCATTTTCTTCATTTTCTCATCTTTGTATTATTTTCATTCCTACATTTTGTTTGACTCTCCTTATGGCTTTGCATAGCTAATCAACTTGTATAAGGGGGAGACGTTCTAAACTTATTTTCTGGACTGTAACCGTGCTGTTTGTCTTAATGGAAGTGTGCTTTGAGTTGAAGTTGTTTATCACTCTAGTTTCAATGTGCTTGATCATCATTTTGAAATATCTCTTTGATAATGTTTGGAAAAATGTATTAAAGAGCGAAACCCTTCATCTTGAGCTAGAATCTACTTAAGTTTAGCGTGTGGTGACTTAGGGATAAGCATCACCTAGCTCAATCATAAAAACTGTGTGTATGTGCTATTGATGTCTGTCTATGAATGTTAGTAGTAGAAAATTTGAGGCGTTTGGAAGAGCATCTTGTCTGTTTGACCACTGCACTTACTCCATTAATACTATAGCATAGTTAGGGTGGCCCAGAAGAGTCGACTTACTCTCCCCCTTGCGCCGTTAATTTTACAAGATCTTACTAAGTGATTGTGGATGTTTGGTACTTATAACGAACTTACCCCTTGTGTTTGCATTAAGATATTTATTTCAAGGTTTTTATCTCAGCACTGTGTAGTTATTATTTGGAAGAAAAGCCTATTGTTTGTGTAGTACTTTCTTGAGTGAATATTGAGTGTTTAAGCATTTAGTCTCTGTGGATTCGAACTTTTATTACTTGCTGCGACGATTGTATACACTTGCATATATAAGAATTGATTGAACAATGAGTGGACAACAAACCTAATATTAAAAAAAAAATGAAATTCAAACTTTTAACTTGTGGACTCATGAATGTTCTTTGAATGACAAACCATATACCTGGCAATTAGAACTTCTCTCCTGTATCAGCAAACCATCATCCATCAATACAACACCAACATTATTTGATTCTAAATTTAGAGCTATGTCTATAGTACCCTCTTCAAAGTTTACTAATTCACATGCCATTACTTCATCAAGACCATAAATACGAGAAATGTCGTCACCTACTTGAAGTATGGTACCGGTATTTACAATTTTTACTTCTCTATTATGTTGCGGTAGTGCTAGGAAGTGTTGACATCTCATTTTACTTGTATAATCCCTCGAAATGGTAGAAAGTGTAAAGTGTAGACTCAATGTTGATGTTGATAGAAATATCGAGATCTCAATTTTATAGAAATATAGAGATAAATATAAATATTTTAAAAACAGATAAAAAAATCATAAAAATATTTAAATTAACAAATAAACACTTTATTCTTTTTAAATAAGTTTAAAATGGTTAATATTAATATTAGATTATACTAGTGATATTGTGTCGATATATATTCAATAGAATGTTATGTTGATGATGGCAAAACTTATAGTTAGTAGAAAACATCAATGAAAACATTGATTTGCCCATAAAAATTTAATACTCTGGCCCAACTAACTACGATATCATTCTCATCCAGTATCCATATCAAAATTTGTACCTTTTCAAGCAACAAATTAAAAAGAAAAAGATAAAAAAGTTAAGTGTTGGCCTTTTTCCTTTTCATTGTCTTTTTATTTGTCCTTCGAGGAGTGTTTGTTTCAATTTTCAATTTGTGCTATATTATGTAGTTTCTTTTTCGAAACTTTGGGTATTAGATAGACAGTGCTTCAAAATCTCATGAACTAAAAATGTATTGTACCTATTATTTTATTATTTCTTAGCACTAGAAAAGGATAACATACAAGTATATCTACGTGCGTGTCTCTCTCTATATATTAAGTATTGTTATGCAGGACTAGCTAGGACTCGTATTCAACAAAGCAAAGAACATGCAGACAGAATCTTGCAACTGGTGTCACTACAAGAAAAAGGACTTTTTTACTCCGAAGTTTTTGGTGTGTGGTACTCGATAACATATTCTACTCCGAAGTTTGAGTTAATACTTAATTCGATTTGATGTCAAATCTGATCGAGCTTAATGATGTTGTATAGAATTGCCTACCTTTTGTGAGGGACGACCTCTACCTTTTATAGGAGAGCTATGGAGCATTGACTTGTCAATTTTGACACTTTGTACTTGTCAATCAACAAATTTATGTTGGTGGCGTCAGTGGGTTTGTAAGGAGAACGCAAATAAGGTCCCACATTGGTTAGGCAAGAGAATGATCCATTATATATAAATGATGACAATTATCTACATTGATATGAGCCATTTTGAGTGAAACCAAAAGTTTCCGGATGGAGTACCACAATTTTATTGCATCAAATTATTAGCATAAGGAATGCGCAAGCTGGGAAGAACATGGAATTCTCTTACCTTCCTAAACTCCCAAAACCCACTCAATAAAAACACAATAATGATGAGACACATCGACACATCAATCTACTTCTTCAGTCACAAAGTGGAAATTATAGGAATTCACGACATTATACACACCATCATGATATCGTCGAGTGACAAACTTCCCACTCATGAGTTTGTCTCGTTGAGTGTAAGAAAAAGGAACATCACAGCTCGCTTGTGTCGCCAATATACTGCCCTTAACCTTAGTCCACGCAGGAACCACAACATCGTGGACAACCTCCGCGAGATATTTGAATTGCTCTGTTTTGCCCCATGTGTAGCCCTCCGATATCTCAGCTGAAATCTCCACCTCCCCTTCAGAAACCTTAGGAACACCGGTTTCAATCGTCAATTTTACACCAAACGTTGTGTTCACATTGGCACTCCAAGTCGAGGTTGTTGTGTCTTCGTACGACAGCTTCATGCTCAACTTTTGGTCCTCGGAGTTGTTGTTTTCGACCAAAGCACTCGTCATGGAAACCGGTTGCTCGTTGTACACTCTTGCATCAGAAAGATGGAAATGGACGTTGTAAATCTCCCGCGAAAGCACAAGCTCCACGACTTCCATCTTCGCTTCATCAGTGATGTAATCAAAATCAGCTATGACACGGTTAATATCATTACTCATCCTCCTGAGAAAGCAATTGTTGTCCATGTTACGGAGCGCCACTGTATTGTCACCAAGTTTGATGGGCCAGAATAAAGATTTAGGATCCACATGTTCATCAGAAGACTTATTGTCCAATATAATCCGATGTTTATGGCGGGTATCAGGAATCAGAAACTTTCCATAAGGGACATTCTTTATGCGAACGTGACCGTCGGGTGTTGTTATCACCTCATGCCGCACTCCTGGATCTGCCCTCTCTGACCCTTTGAATTGAACCTCAACAATGTTGGAATTCGGACGATGAACGGGTCGGAGGTAGTGATTGTTGTTGCTCTTGAAGGCTACGTATTTGGGGAGTATGAACAATGTATCCCAATTGACAACAGTGGAGAGGTCGGAACCAGTGTTGGATTCTTCGGCTCCGACGAATACGCATCCTTGATGTTCTCCAAAGGGTTTAAGGCGAAGATTGTGATTGAGATGGACGTGTCGAAAGCGGATTGTCTTGATCTCGTTGCTGTCGTCGTCGTCGTCGTCGTCAGGGTTCAGCTTGAATAAGGTGCAAGAGGGTTTTGATCGATCTTCGTCTCGTTCTTTGGCGGTTGCGACGATGTAGTGGGAGGATGGGGAGTGGAGAACCCAATATTTGTTGTTGTAACAACATTTTATGTGCACAAATCGTCTCCCGACATTAGATTTTTCGATCTCGAACTTTGTGTAAGGGGTGAGTGCTTGATCTCCAGAGTATTGGAGAAAGCCACGCACTTCATTTTCTTCGTTAACATATTGGAGATATGAGTTGTTGGAAACAGATTTTAGGGCAAAATGCCTTGGGATTGAGCTGATCATCTTATCAAATCTTGCAACTCTTTCAAGCTTTCCAAATTCTGGCTGCATTTCCTCCTGTGTGTCTATCCATATTTAAAGATAAAAAAAATATGCGTGGAGTGTGTGTATGAAAATAAATAAAGAAAAAAAAAGAAATTAAAGTTAGAAACTATAAATTTTCAAGGTTGTGTATAAAGTTAGACAATTTATACTTTCGAAAGTTTTTAGTAAATCCCTGAGTTTTCATTTTGAAATTCGATGTAAATTAGGGAAAAAAAAAGGAGTAGTTTTCAAAAATAGATTTATATTTTTCACAATTTTATTTTTCTTTTCTGATACTAAAAGTTTTTTCTTTCTAGATTTCTCTCTACAAAATTTATTTTTCTCGGTAAAATTTTTCGTTATTTTGGATATTTATTATTAATTTGTTCCGCTCTCTCCAAATTTTCATCTTTGATATTTTTATGTTTTATATTTTTTTCTAACCGATCATTTTCATTTTTCTCTCTAAAAATTTATTATTTTTCCGAACTTTGTTCTTTCTAAAATTTCATCTTTTATAACTTTCCTTTTCTTTCCTAATTTTTTTTTCCTCTGAAAATTATATCTTCTTTTCTCGTTAAATTTTCTTTCACGGTAACTTTTATTTATCTTTGTATTTATTTATTTTCTCTAAAAATTATATTTTGAATATTGTTTTTATCTCTAACTTTTTTTCCACTATAATTTTTCTCTTTTTTTCTAATTTTTTTCTTTAACATATCTTTTCCTCTCGATTTACTTTTGTTCTCTAAATTTGTTCTCTTTTTGTGTTTAACTTTTCTTTCGGTAATTAATTTTCTAATTCTTTTTATTTATCTCTCTAAACTTGTATTTTCGTGTCTCTACATTAGGGATGACAAAAATTTCCATAGGGTCGGGCCCCAAAAATAGGAAATGCATGTCCCGATCCCATTTTTTAAATAATTAATATATATTTAATACATTTTTTATTTTTTAAATTCTAATAATAATTTAAGACAATTATAAAATTGATAATTTTTCTCGAGAACGTCTCTCAGACCGAAGAACGAGGTAGAAACGGACATTCAAAATTTTCACGAGCACAAGAATGTGGGAGAACATCTTCACCCGCACCCACATCATTGTCATCTCTACCCTACATAGAATTTTCTCCCTCTTATATGTATTTTTAATTTTCTAACTTTTTAAAAATAAAAAACTAAAAATGATTACCTTTTAGTTTTCTGTTTTTTACAAACAAAAAACAAAAAATGTTTAGCGAACATATATGGTTTTTGTTTTTTAAAAACAGAAAACCAAAAACTAAAAACAGTAAAAACCAAAAACAAAAAACAGAAATGGTTACCGACCGTAAATTTTTATGTTCGTGTGTATTCAGTCCTATCAATTTAATCCACAGCCTTTTGTATTTAACAAGTTTTTGTTGTTAATTTTGTGTTAGTTTGATGCTCACTTAGCATATTTATTGCAATATTTAAGGGTTCTGCAAAAAATCAGCATTAAAATTTTTGGACCGAAGTAGTTATTATGAAATGATTGGCAAGGACTTACTAAATAGGAAATATAATATTGACAACCAGAGTATAGTTTAGCGGTTTAAGGCATATGTACCTAATCATGAGGTTGAGAGTTTGAATTCCCAACCCACATGTTGTACCAAAAAAAAAATGTAATGTTTAGAGATCTATTTGAAGCCTTTTAAATTATAAGAACTAAATAGACATAACTCTAAAAGTTTAAGGTTCTATTATAAATTTTTTTTTAGTAAAAGAATTGAATAGACACACCATCTGAGAATTCAAGAACCAAATTTATAATTTAACCAATTAATAATAACCTGATTATTATTAGCTAATACAACAAATATGGGAACAGGGAATATCAACTTCCAACTCATAAAAAGAGACACCAGTGTTCCTGACTACAATAAAATAGATTTAGTTTAAAATTTATTCTCTTACCATCATTCAACAAAAAAGAAGTAAAGATGATTAAATACTATGACACTATATTAAAATGATATTTGATGAATGTATCACTTTAAAAATAATAATTCATTTTTCACGGTCCAAAATTTTCTTCTTGTGAATGTTAATATAAACATATAACTAAGCTCAAATAGTATGTGATAAATGAATATGTCAGTTGAAAATAATAAAATTTTCGGAGTCCAAAAATTTCTTTAATATAACCATATAATTGGGCCCAATAGTATTTGATAATTGGATGTGTCAGTTGAAAGCAATAATTCAAGCAGATGCATACAAAGGTTTTTTATTTTTTATTTTTTCAAAGATTTCATAGTTATTATGTTTATTATTTGAATTAATTTATTTGAAACGTGTAAATATCACGTAGGATAATAACATGGATAAGAAATGAGATAACATTGTATCACATTTACACCGCTCTTTCTATCTAATAAATATCATCTTTGTCATCTTATCTAGTTGGGACCATAGGATGACATGTTACATCTTCAAAATCGTCCTAGTATTATTAGTTTTTTTAAAACTTATTGATGGGTCGACTACATCAATTGTCAGTTTCAAAAAAACAAAAATCTTAATGGTTCGTTTTTTTCAAAAGATTCATCGATCCTGCTGGCTAAAGTTTAAAGTACTTTTTATCGTTTTACTTGTTTAGGTTGAAAATATTAATTAATATATAGTCCCCACAATCCAAACTTTTCTTTTTCATATCTATAAATCAGTAAAAGTGTATAGTATAACTCGGGAGCTCAATAATGAAATCACAAATGGAATGATAATTAGGATTTAGTTGTAAAATTAGAAGTGAAGACTCAAAAATTATATCAAAATCTCCTACTCCCACTAAATAAAAACTATATCAAAAATTATATTGATAATCCAAATAATTTCTATGAATTGAACCAATACCAAGCTGTTGACATAATGAATGTGGAAGCATCTCTCAACGTGTTCATCCACACTCATTGAAGCAACTGATTAAAAATCACACTAATTTTTTGTGTTGTATTAGACTGCAATTAAGAATGGAATTATATTATTAATAATATTATATAATATATCAAATTATATTACTAAAATAAACTGCAATTAAATTATATAATATATCAATTTATTTTTAATAATTTGAAGGAATTATATTATTAATAATATTTATTATCATAAATATAAAATTTTGCAGCAACATTTTTTTACGGACCAACATACATGTGACATTTTTCCTCTAAAAAATATTAACTTGATAATAAGATAAATAAATTTCATCCAAGATAAGACCAATTATATAATTGTATTTTTAGAAGAATATTAAAGTTGAAAATGATATTTATATTAAAATAATTTGAATTAATTTGTTGTACAAAATAATGTATAAAAATTGATATAAAAATAAACCTATTATATTTAATGGATATATAAATTATACGAATATTCGTAATAGTATTTTTGAAACATTATATAAATTTAACAAATCCTGAACAATAAATTCTGCAAAACAAACATGTGACTATCATTCTCAGACATTCTTATAAATTTTCCTACAAAATATACGTGACTATCTAAAGATGTAGAGATCTAAAATTTTGGGTTTGAAATTCTAGGCATTTGTAGATGCCGACCATCTACATTTCCGAAAAACAAAAGGCTGATAAGAAAGGTATGCACCATTTTCCTATGCAAGAACTCATTTGCAAACCCTTGCACGAATTCTTAACACACTATCAAGCAGACTCTCATTAAAATTCATGTAATTACTCTCGTGCTCCATACCTCTTTGCGCTTGAATCTTAAGTGCTAATTTAGGCATCAGAACGCAATATACAAAACATCACACCAATACTATATTTTTTGGGCAGGTCAACCTTAAACTAGGAGATAAAGACGTACGTAGCACCTGTTGATCGACATAAACTATTAAGTCAACAATCATTTTTAATAACTTGTTAAAACAAGAAATAGCATCCACTATTTATTCAGTTTTGTCTCTAATATTTTCTTTATGGGCTAATCTTTTAAGATTAAATTCTGTTTTGACATTTTAAAAGATTAAATTTCCTTCCTTATATGTTCAATTTTTTTCATTCAATTCCTTGAAATAAACATTGAAATTCATTAATGATTTGATTTTAAAATACATTTTGTTAACTAGGTTTAGGAATCCCATTTTGTTAACTTATTGAGATATTATGTATCCTACTACAAGAGTTTTTTGTTCCAACTTCCACCCTGCATTATTAAACTCGAAAAAAATCACATTAAAAAAATATATCATTTCTAAAATTTTTACATTATCACTATTTTAATATCTATTAATGACAAGGATTTGATTGAAAGAGAAAAAAACTTAATACATAAATTACTATAGCATGTAATAAGTGTTATAGGTATTTCCCAACAATGCATTATGATAATATTTAAGATATGCTTTTTTTTTCCTTAAGAATATTACATTATAAATATTAAGATAAGATTTAAATATAGGTACTGGTTCTTTACTGCTTTAACTCAGTATAAGTTTTTGCCAAAACGAGCAAAGTTCAACAGTAATTGACATATATTTATGATCAAGAGGTCATGATTTCGTATAATTTTTCTCATCACTTTTAGTGCTTGATTCATTAAAAAAATTAATGGAAATAATAGAATAATCAAATAGATTTAATTTAAAATTAGTTCTCTTACCATCCAGCTCAAGTTATACATTAGTATATACTTCCATTAATTTTTTTCTTAAAACAAATGTGGAGATTGAACATTCAGTCTCTAGAGAAGGAGAATGTTTGGGGTTGAAAATCGTATTGCCACGTGGAGGACAGAAAAAGGTCCAACTTTGGACGTCTTCTCTTTGGTGGCCGACCTGAAGAACTTCCTTTTGGTGGCCGACCTAAAGAGCTCCACTGAGGGCCGACCTGAAGAGCTCCACTCAGGGCTGACCTGAAGGCCTTACCTAATGGCCAACCTGAGGCCTTCCCTAAAGGCTGATCTGAAGGTCTTAAGATCATTAAAGGGAGGAACGACCTTCCATACTTAGCCAAATTCCAGATGACAAGAGTATGA